GACTCGATCCACAACAGTATTGAGCATAACCGCGGCATGGCATATCGCAATTCAGCACGGCGCAGCACAGCACAGCCCTCGGCACGATACATCAAGATCGATACATTAAGCATTGCAACCTAGCACGTTCCGTGGCGCGTCCCGTGGCGAATCCCTTTGGCACGTCGCGCGGCGCGTCCCTTGGCACGTCCTGTGTCATCTCCATTGGCACGTTCCGTAGCGTTTCCCTTGGGACGTCCCGCGGTGCGTCCCCCTGGCACGTTCCTTGGCACGTCGCCTGGCGCGTCCCATGGGACGTTCCGCGGCGCGTCCTCCTGGCATGTTCCCCTGTCACTTAGCTCTGGGGCAGCTACTATGTGCCCAGGCAACTCGAGCTTACGATCCAGATCAGTTCGGTCAGGACTCGGATTCAAAGGAGGACTCGGCCCACAACATTATAGAGCACAACCGCGGCATGGCACATCGCAATTCAGCACGACGCAGCACAGCACAGCCCTCGGCACGGTACATCAAAATTGAAACATTCAGCATTGCAACTTGGCCCGTTCCCTGGCACGTTCCGTTGCGCGTCCCGTGACGAGTCCCCTTGGCACGTCCCGCGGCGCGTCCCCTGGCACGTCCGTGGCACGTCCATGGGCACGTTCCGTAGCGCGTCCTTTTGGCACGTCCCGCGGTGCGTCCCCGTGGCACGTCCCATGGCACGTCGCCTGGCGCGTCCCTTGGGACGTTCCGCGGCACGTCCTCCTGGCATGTCCTCCTGTCACTTAGCTGTAGCTCTGGGGCAGCTACAATGTCTATGTGCCCAGGCAGCTCGAGCTTTAGATCCAGATCAGTTCGGTCAGGACTCGGATACAAAGGAGGACTCGATCCACAACGCTATAGGGCAAAATCTCGGCATGGCACATCGCAACTTCAGCACGGCGCAGCACAGCAAAGCCCTCGGCACGGTACATCAAGATCGATACACTCAGCATTGCATTTGCCCGTCGCCCAATCAAGTGTCTTTGAAGCGTTGCCATGCCTTACATGTCTATATTCCTTTCTGGGTTCGTGGGTCGATCATGTTTACTAAATTAAATAGGCCACCCAGGGGGGCATCTAATATGGTTGTGTCGAGCTTGAATCAGGTGTTTTTCTTGGAAAGGGCGTGGGCCCAGGGCTCTCTTTTAGTATTGGTTCCCCCGTGTTCCGGCCGGCGAAATTATGTACGATAAACGGCGAGGTAGAGTCCCATTCAGCGTGGAACAATTGAGAATGTCCTTAGCGAAACGCTTGTTTTTGAAATCTCGATCGATAAATCATATGGTGCGGGACACATGTTGGTCGAAGAAGTGCATGCCGTGCGAGCTGGAACCACGTGTTTTCACGCGTCAAGGCCACCTAGGGGGGTATCTAATATGGTGGCCCCGAGCTGGAACCACGTGCTTTTGTGTGTCCAGGCCACACAGGGGAGGTATGCAGCATGGTGGTCCCGAGCTGGAACCACGTGCTTTCGCCTGACCAGGCCACCCAGGTGGGTATCTAACACGGTGGTCCCGAGCTGGAACCGCGTGTGTTCAAGTGTCCAGGCCACACAAGGGGTGTATCCAACATGGTGTTTCCGAGCTGTTTGTCCCGAGCTGGGAACACGTGTTTTTACGTATCCAGGCCACCCAGGGGGATATCGAACATGGTTGCCCCGCGCTGGAACCCAGGGAGGTATCTAACATGGTTGTCCCGAGCTGGCACCACGTGTGTTTACGTGTCCAGGCCAACCAGGGGGATATCTAGCTTGGTTGTCCCGAGCTTGAACCACGTGTTTTCACGTATCCAGGCCACCCAGCGGGGTATCTAACATGATTGTCCCGAGCACGGACCACGTGTTTAAACATGTCCAGGCTACTCAGGGGTGTATCTAACATGGTTGTCCCGAGCTGGTCCCACGTGTTTTCACGTGTCCTGGCACCGCAGGGGGATATCTAACATGGCTGTCCCGAGCAAGGACCACGTGTTTTAACCTGATTAGAATGTCCAGGCCACCCAGGGGTGTATCTAACATGGTTGCCCAGAGCTGGTCCCACGTGTTTTCACGTGTCCAGGCCACCCAAGGGGGCATCTAACATGATCGTCCCGAATTGGAACCACGTGGTTTTACGTGTCCAGGCCGCCCAGGGGGTATTTGACATGGCAGAACTAGGTGGTTTAACGTGTCCAGGGCACCTAGGGGGTATCCAACATGGGCCTCTTGTTCTATAGTGGGATCTGTGTTCGGGGAGCGCGTTTCGCTTCCTAACGCCCCAGGGCGGGACAAGCGTGACAACACATGGGTTCCTAACGCCCCAGGGCGGGGGAAGCGTGAAAATACATGGGTTCTAACGTCCCGGGGCGGGACTAACGTGAAAACACAGGGTTCCGAATGCCACATGGCGGGAGATGCGTGAAAACACATGGGTTCCTAGCGCCCCAGGGCGGGGCAAGCTTGCAAACATATGGTTCCTAACGCCCCAGGGCGGGGGAAGCGTGAAAGCACATGGGTTCCACAACGCTCTGGGGCAGTTGCTATGTGCTCGGGCAGCTCGAGCTCAAGATCCAGATCAGTTCGGTCAGGACTCGGATGCAAAAGAGGACTCGACCCACAACACTATAGAGCACAATCGCGGCATGGCACATCGCAGTTCATCACGGCGCAGCACAGCACAGCCCTGGGCACGGTACATTAAGATCGATACACTGAGCATTGCAACTTGGTACGTTCCCTGGCACGTTCCGTGGCGCGTCCCGTGACGAGTCCCCCTCGCAGGTCGCGCGGCGCGTCCCTTGGCACGTCCCGTGGCACGTCCATTGGTACGTTCCGTAGCGCGTCCACTTGGCGCGTCCCGCGGTGCGTCCCCATGGCACGCCCCCTGGCACGTCGCCTGGCGCGTCCCATGGGACGTTCCGCGGCGCATCCTCCTTGCATGCCCCCTTGTCAATTAACGCTGATGCAGCTACTATGTGTTCAGGCAGCTCGAGCTTAAGATCCAGATCAGTTCGGTCAGGACTCGGACGCAAAGCAGGACTCGACCCACAACACTAGAGATCACAATTGCGACATGGCGCATGGCAATTCAGCACGGCGCAGCACAGCACAGCCCTCGGCACGGTACATCAAGATCGATACACTCAGCGTTGCTTTTTCCCGTCGCCCAATCAGGTGTATTTGAAACGTTGCCACGCGTTACATTTTGATATTCCTTGCCGGGTTCGTGGGTCGATCATGTTTCTCCTTGTGTGCCTGCGGACTCCAAAGCCCAAGGCTGCGGGCGTAGCGCAGCGCGGAGTCCCCACGACGCGCGCCGGTCGTCCCGAAGGGGTCCAGCGACGCGCGCGGGTCGTCCGCTGCGCGGAGCAAAGAGAGCTAGCTTGCTGGGCGATTGCGGGCAAGGCTCTGACTGCTAGCTTGCGGGCAGAAGCGACGACAGGCGAGCGAAGCGTTGGGCAGAGCGCGGCATGGAGTTTCCGCCGCGCGCGCTGGTCGTTCCGAGAGGGTCCCAGCGATGCGCGCGGGTCGTCCGCGGCGCGGGGCCAGACAGTCAGACCGTCGAGAGAAGGCGAGGCTCGGGCGGGCCGCTCCCCTGGTCAGGCCTCGCGGATAATCTCGGTGAAATCCAGCTCTACGGCGAAGGCCGTCGCCTCCCGCCGGCATCGCTTCGTGCGCGCCGCCACCTGTTCCATCTGCTTCCGCAAGCCCCCCGACGGCCCTGTCAGGAAGAACTCGATCCGCGGCGCCCGCTTGAGCATGAGGTCCTCGTGGCGCGTGGCGCACGAGAGCAGCGCGTAGAGCTCCAGCCACGAGTCGTCGTCCTCCTTTTTGCTGTTCCCGACCTCGTGGCGGCCGCCATCCAGGATCACGCCTGGGCGCCGTCGGCCGACGGAACGGCGCGCTGGACGGCCGACGGCCCAGGGCGAGGGTCTACAGGACCCGTCTGGCTGCGGACCGCTGGCGCCGAGGGTATGGGGCCAAGAAGCGTGTGAAAAGTGTGCCCCCTATGGGGCTACGCAACACCGCGCTGGAAGGAGGCACCGCATGCGAATTCCAACGCTGGGACCTTCGGTGGAGTCCCCTTATGGGGCCACGAAGCGTTGTTTGGGGCGCAGGAACCGCATGCGAGCTCCGCCACTGGGACTCTCTATGGGGTCAGGAACCGCATGTGAAGTCCGCCACTGGGACCTTCGGTGGAGCTCCGTATAGGGCCAAAGCGCTGTACTGGGCGCGGGAACCGCGCGCGAGTTCCGCCAGTGGGACCTTCGGTGGAGTTTCCTACAGGGCCACGAAGCGCTGTACTTGGCGCAGGAGCCGCATGCGGGTTCCGCCATTGGAACATTCGGTGGGGCTCCCTGTGGGGCCACGAAGTGCTGTACTGGGCGCTAGAGATGCATTGATGGTGATGATGATGATGATGATGATGGTGATGATGATGATGGTGATGATGGTGGTGGTGGTGGTGCTGATGACGATGATGACGATGATGGCGATGATGGCGATGATGGCGATGATTATGATGTTGATTATGCTGATGATGATAATTATGATGATGATGACGGTGATGATGATGATGATGATGATTATGATAATGATGATGATGATGGTAACGCGGCTGCTGCTGATGTTGTTATTGGCGACGATGATGCTGGAATGGATACGGGGGAGGAGGAGGGGGAATGAAGGAGGAGGAGACGCGGGGCGGTGTCTCTTCAAAACGAGAACCCAACACCACATGATGGTCGGGAATAATCACAGTGAGAAATCTGGATCAGATGAGCCCTAAATGCTGAATGTTTCTGCGACGCTTCTCGTGCCAGATCGCTGTGGCGCTTGTCTCTGGGTGAAAATATCGGGTATGAGACAAAAAGCATCAGCGCTGGGTTTTCAGGGTTTCCCCCGAACCAGTTCCGCCCCATTTTTCGCCCCCACAGATGGGCCCGGCCCAAATGGCCCGGCCCGGATCGGCGAAATGGCCAGTGCTGATGCCTCCCGAGAGGAACGCGCTCCCGGCGGAGTTGGCTGCCGCCCCGAGCAACCCCAGATGCCCGCCGTGGCCGGAGGCAAGAGGGTGTTTCAAAAGGAAGGAGGTGAGGACCCGCGGTGGGGAGCGGATATCATGGCCAGGGCCATGACATCTCCCTGATTTCGTGGTCCCTTCTTCTTCTTCTTCTTCTTCTTCTTCATATTCTTCTTCTTTTTCCTCCTTTTCTTTCAACCTGTCCCCTGCCCTCCCCCCTTCGTCCGCGCACATGCATCGGACCACAATCCTGGCCCCCCTCCTTTGGCGCACCCGAGGCAGCCAGGGCGGGCTGGCCAAAACGATCGAGCACTATGCGGTCACGCCTGCCGGCGCGGCCGCCCCAGGCCTCCTCCCAGGCCTTGCTTCACCATGCACCGTGCGAGGTTCCCGGAGATCCGGGCGTCGCATTGTTTTTGCGCTGGGCGTTTCCGCCCAGCCTTTGGGCCCCAGGACCCTCGCAGATTGATCTGGCTGAGACGTGCCGCCGAGAAACGGAGTCTTGTGGGGTCAGTTATGATTTCTCACGAGGCTAATTTTTCTCGGAAAGGGCTTAGGCCCAGGGTTCTCTTTTAGTGTTGTTTCCCCCTGGTTTTGACGGCTGTAGGGCTGGCGAAATTCTTAAATTCTTTGGCGATAAATAACGAGGTCGCGTAGGGCCGGCGAAATAAAATTGGAGGATGCCCTAAGCGAATCGCTGGTTTTTGAAATCGCGATCGATAAATCACAGGGTGCGGGACACGTTTTGGCCAGGGGAACGGATTATGTATGTTCCTATAGATTGGCCTTTCCATTACCTATAGATTGGCATTCTCCAGGGGCACGAATACGTGCGTTTTTACGCGTATTCCTATAGATTGGCCCTCTTCAGGGTTACGCGTGTTCCCATATATTGGCCCTCTCCAGGGGCACGAATACGAGTGTTACCACTTATGTTCATATAAATTTGATCTTTCGAGGGGCCCCGCGGTGCGACCCCATGGCACGTCCCATGGCACGTCCCCTGGTACGTCGCCTGGCGCGTCCCTCAAGTTGCAATGCTGAATGTATCGATCTTGATGTACCATGCCGAAGTCTGTGCTGTGCTGCGCCGTGCGGAATTGCGATATGCCATGCCGCGATTGTGCTCTATAGCGTTGTGGATCGAGTATCGAGTCCCCCTTTGCATCCGAGTCCTGACCGAACTGATCTGGATCTTAAGCTCGAGCTGCCTGAACACATAGTACCTGCCCCAGAGCTAATTGACAGGGGGACATGCCAGGAGGACGCGCCGCGGAACGTCTCAAGGGACGCGCCAAGCGACGTGCCAGGGGACGTGCCATGGGGACGCACCGCGGGACGTGCCAAGGGGACGCGCTACGGAACGTGCTGGGGACAAGCGTTTCGCTCGAGACATCCTGTCAAAATCCTCATGCTAGACATCCGCCTCAGCGACCTGGACACGTGAAAACAAGCGTTTCGCTCAACACATCCTCAACACATTCTCATGCTAGACATCCGCCTGGGCGAACTGGACACGTGAAAACAAGTGGTTCGCTCGAGACACCCTCAACACATCTTCATGTTAGACATCCGCCTGGGCGACCTGGACACGTAAAAACAAGCGTATCCCTCAAGACATTCTCAACACATCCTCATGCTAGGCTTCCGCCTGGGCAACCTGGACACGTGCAAACAAGCATCTCGATCGAGACTTCGTCAACACATCCTCATGCTAGACATCCGTCTGGGCGACGAGGACGCGTGAAACCAAGCGTCTCGCTCGAGACATCCTCAACAAATCCTGGCGCTAGACCTCTGCCTGGGCAACCTGGAGGCGTGAAACCAAGCGTCTCGCTCGAGACATCCTCAAGACCTGGGCACGTGAAAACAAGCATCTCACCTCAGAGATCCTCTGAATTCTGGTCCCCGGGAGAAGACAATATATAACACAAAACAAGCGTTTCGCTCGAGACATCCTCAACAAATTCTGAAATACAAGCGTTTCGCTCAAGACATCCTCAACATTTAATTCGCCGGCCCACCTCGACCTTGATATTTATCGCAAAAGAAATTCCTCGGCCCACCTCAAATCGAAACCGGGGGTAAACAAACTAAAAGAGAACCCTGGGCCTATGCTTTTTCCGGGAAAAACAAGCGTTTCGCTCGAGACATCCGGTCAAAATCCAAGGACATCCGGGAAACAACAAGCGAATTAGTCGAGACATCCTCGAAATTCCTGCGCGCGGGACGCGGCACGCGCGAGATATCCTCGGAATTCCTACGAGCAGGACGTGAAAACAAAGATTTCGCCTGAGACATCCTTTGAATTCTGGCCCCCACGAAGCCCCCGCTCGAGACATCACCCAATTTAGCAAAACCAGCGTTTCGCTCGAGACATCCTCAACAAATTATGAAACACAAGCGTTTCGCTCGAGACATCCGGTCAAAATCCAAGGAAATCCTAGAACAACAAACGAATTAGTCGAGACATCCTCACAACTCCTGCGCGCGGGACGCGGCACGCGCGAGACATCCTCGGATGCGCGCGGGACGCTTTTCCGCGTCGCGGCCGGGGCTCCAGACATAGGTTTTTTTTTATGATGATTCTACTAAAAGTGCCCCGCGCTTTTTTTTTTTGCGAAGGTGACTTTCCTCGAGCGGGCACACGCGAAACGCGCCGAATTGTTTTTTACTTTGTTTTGTATCGAGCGGAAATCCGTCGGCCCTCTTCCGGGAGGGAATCAACCAGCTAAAAGAAAACCTTGGGACGGCCCCCTTTCCGGGAAAAAACTAAAAGAAGACCTCAGGACCCGCTTGCTTCATGGCGACGAAGATGTCAGTGGAGGCCGGGCGCGCCAGACTGGCTCGTTGTCCCGAACTGCTTGTCGGACGGTCCCGCGGGCCCACGAAAGAGGTCCTCTGGGGAACCCGAAATCAGCGAAAGAACTCCATGGGATTCGTTTCCCTCTGGACCGCTGCGATACAATTCGAGAAGACATGTTTGGAACTGGATCCCGCGCTCGCGTCGGGCCAACATTATTTGCGGCGTCTGCTTCAGAGTTGCAATGGAAGTGTCTGCCTTCGCCGTCCCCAACCCTACATAGTTGCATGCTTGTGTGTTTCGAGCTTGTGTTATGGCATGCTTGCGCGTTTCCTGACCAACACATGCGGGAAGGCTTCCAAGTTGTAAGAGGAAGGGTGGTCCTTGGCCACACGGTGCGACACAAATGCTTCAGGCGTGCCATGCCGTGCCGTGCCGTGCCGCGTTTGGTTTGTAACCTGCCCGAAATTTGAGGTGCCGTGCCGTACCGCGCCATGCCTGATCTTCAGAGTGCGCAAGATTTTGGAGTGCCGTGGCGTGCCGTGCTTTGTCGACGGCGACGGCAAAATCGACGATTGTGAGCTCGTTTGGCGACGACGACGACGACGACGACGACGACGAACATGACGACGGCGGAAGCTGGGCGAAGACGCCCAGCGCCAAAAGCTTGCAACGCCCAGATCTCAGAGCGGGGATTGGCGCGAGCGCGAGAATTTTTCCTGCTCTGGGACAAAACGAGCGAGGCGGCGCCGCCACTGAGATCTGTGCTGGGGGCGAATCGGAACACAGCTGCGGGGCGGCCGCGCCAGCATACGCTCGACCGTCGTGGCTGGCTGGCCTCTCGGCTCTCTGGCAGCCGGTCGGGACGACTCGGGCCCGCCCATCCCCCCCCCCCTTGGGATCCAGGCGATGCGTCTTTTTCATTGTCATACTGGGCTTTTCTGCCCCACTTTCGGGCCACGGGACCCGACGGAAACATCCGTCGAGCCTCGACCAGTCAACGGTGACCCTGAGATTCGACGTCGCAGAAACATGATCGACCCACGAACCCGGAAAGGGAAATAGAAATGTAACGCATGGCAACGTTTTCAAAGACACCTGATTGGGTGACGGGCAAATGCAATGCTGAATGTATCACTCTTGATGTACCGTGCCGAGGGCTGTGCTGCGCTGCACCGTGCTGAATTTCGATGTGCCATGCCGCGATTGTGCTCTATAGCGTCGTGGATCGAGTCCTCCTTTGCATCCGAGTCCTGACCGAACTGATCTGGATCTTAAGCTCGAGCTGCCTGAACACACAGTAGCTGCCCCAGAGCTTGTTGACAGGGGGATATGCCAGGAGGACGCGCCGCGAAACGTCCCATGTATCGCATGAAGGGATTGGCGGCCTCGCACCAAAGAGCACTGGGTCAGTCTTGCGTGTAGACGACCTGCCCCACCCCAGGGTGTGGGAAGAGGCGATGACGAGGATGAGCCAGGTAGGAGGAGCAGGAGTTCGACGAGGAGGACGAAGAGGTAGAGGGAGGCAATGGCGACGAGAAGTGGCACGACGAAATACGGCGAGGATGGAGGGGACAGGATGTTCCCCACACCCCCGCCATTCTCTGAGAAGGGGTCGTACGTGATTCCGCTGGACGCGGACTGGAAGCGAAGAGAGAAGGGGGGGAGGCAGCCGGGAGGAAGGGAGAGATCCGAGGAGGAATAGATACCGATACCGATGCTCTTCGCTCGGCTGGATTCGCTTGAAGATCCTCTCTGCTCCCCCAAGGGAGAGGGATGAGCCAATGAGAGGGAGAGGGACGGAGGGATAAGGAGAAGGACGGAGGAGGTGGAGGAACATGATGGACCCACGAACCCGGAAAGGGATAAAGACATGTGCAGCATGGTCACGTTTTCACGATACCCAACTGGGCGACATCTCACGAAACATCCCACGAGACACCCCGCGAAACATCCCACGAGACACCTCACGAAACATTCCACGAGACACCTCACGAAACATTCCACGAGACACCCCGTGAAACATTCCACGAGACACCCCACGAACAGGCAACCACTCAACCAGACACGCCACGAAACATTCCACGGGGGTGCGACTGGGTGTGGTCGTGCTGGGGTGTGGTCGTGCTGGGGTGTGGTCGTGCTGGGGAGTGGTCGTGCTGGGGTGTGGTCGTGCTGGGGGGTGGTCGTGCTGGGGGGTGGTCGTGCTGGGGGGGTGGTCGTGCTGGGGGGTGGTCGTGCTGGGGCGTGGTCGTGCTGGGGCGTGGTCGTGCGTGGTCGTGCTGGGGCGTGGTCGTGCTGGGGCGTGGTCGTGCTGGGGTGTGGTCGTGCTGTGGTGAGGTCGTGCTGGGGTGTGGTCGTGCTGGGGTGTGGTCTTGCTGGGGTAGGGTCGTGCTGGGGTCGGGTCGTGCTGGGGTGTGGTCGTGCTGGGGTATGGTCGTGCTGGGGTGGGGTCGTGCTGGGGTGGGGTCGTGCTGGGGTCTGGTCGTGCTGGGGTGTGGTCGTGCTGGGGTATGGTCGTGCTAGGGTGGGGTCGTGCATTTCGCTCGAGACATCCTGCCAAAATTCCAGGAAATCGTACAAAAACAAAGGAATTAGTCGAGACATCATCGAAATTCCTTCGCGCGGGGCGCTTTTCCGCGTCGCGGTCGGCTCTGCAAAACAAGCGTTTCGCTCGAGACATCCTCGGCAAACTCTGCGGAGCAAGCGTTTCGCTCGAGACATCCTCAACACGACGTGCTGAGGTGTGATCGTGCTGGGGTGGGGTCGTGCTTGGGTGGGGTCGTGCTGGGGTGTGTGGGGTCGTGCTGGGGGTGGTCGTGCTGGGGTGTGGTCGTGCTGGGGCGTGGTCGTGCTGGGGTGGGGTCGTGCTGGGGTGTGGTCGTGCTGTGGTGAGGTCGTGCTGGGGTGTGGTCGTGCTGGGGTGTGGTCTTGCTGGGGTGGGGTCGTGCTGGGGTGGGGTCCTGCTGGGGTGTGGTCGTGCTGGGGTGTGGTCGTGCTGGGGTGGGGTCGTGCTTGGGTGGGGTCGTGCTGGGGTGTGGTCGTTCTGGGGTGTGATCGTGCTGGGGTGTGGTCGTGCTAGGGTGGGGTCGTGCTGGGGTGGGGTCGTGCTGGGGTGTGGTCGTGCTAGGGAGTGGTCGTGCTGGGGTGTGGTCGTGCTGGGGGGTGGTCGTGCTGGGGTGTGGTCGTGCTGGGGGGGTGGTCGTGCTGGGGGGTGGTTGTGCTGGGGCGTGGTCGTGCGTGCTGGGGTGTGGTGAGGTCGGGATTTCAAAAACAAGCGTTTCGCTCGAGACATCCTCAAATTTTAATTCGCCGGCCTCAAAAACAAGCGTTTCGCTCGAGACATCCTCTAATTTTAATTCTCGGGCTCGTTATTTATCAGGGAAAAATTCGCCGGCCTCCTTCGACCTCGTTATTTATCAGGGAAAAAATTCGCCGGCAATTCGCCGGCCTCCTTCAAGCAGGCACCGGGGGACTAAGTTTACAAACTAAAAGAGAACCCTGGGCTTAAGCCCTTTCCGGGAAAAAGGATTGAGGTAGCAAACGTCGGATGGAGGGAGGTAGAGATAGAGAGAGACAGAGAGTGCGAGGTGACTCTAAACGCCTTTCTTCACCCACCAGCCCATCCAGAAAGCCCAGAAACGAGGCCCATGTGAATTGCCCTGATCAGGGATGGGGGGGAACATGCAATGAAGGGATCAGGGAATGAAGGGCCAGGGAAGGCGTCATATACCATGAGGGGGAGGATGGAGGAAGAATCGGAGGAGGAGGAGGGGAAGGGTGATAGGGGAGATGGAGAAGGGAGGAGGGATGAGGAATAGACGGATCAAGACGAGCAGGATGAGGATGAGGATAAGGATGAGGATTAGGATGAGGATGGTGATGATGATGCTGATGATGATGTTGATCATGGTGATCATGGTGATAATGATGATGATGATGATGATGATGATGATGATGATGATGATGATGATGATGATGATGATGATGATGATGCTGATGCTGATGCTGATGCTGATGCTGATGATGATGATGATGATGATGATGATGACGATGACGATGACGATGATGATGATGATGATGATGATGCTGCTGACGCTGATGTTGATGATGATGCTGATGATGAGGATGCTGATGATGATGCTGCTGATGCTGATGCTGATGCTGATGCTGATGCTGCTGATGATGATGATGAGGAGGAGGAGGAGGAGGAGGAGGCGGAGGAGGAGCAGGAGAGAGCAGAATGGCCAGAGACCTCGTGAATGCCCCTCGGCGTCTTTTCGGGTGTCTCTCGAAAGGCTCTTGGAGTCCTCCTGGTGCGTCTTTGGGGGTTCTTGGCGGTCCCAGGGGCCTCTTGGAACGTCTTGGGTGCCTCGGGGGAGCCTCTTGGGGTCTTCGGGGGTCTCTTGGGAGCCTCTTGGGGGCTTTGTGCGGGCCTCGTGGGCGTCTCTTCGGGCCCTCTTGGGGCCCTGTTGGGGGCCTTGGGGGCCATCTTGGGGCCATCTTGGAGGAGTTCGAGTAAAGGAAGGAGGGTTCGTTAAATAGGTGCTCAGCGCACATGTAAGATCAAAGGTGTTCGCCTTTGCGTCGAGACTATCTTAGACGCTCCAACTACATGCGACCCCGTCGTCCAGGTCCAGGGGGAGGGGGTCGGGGGACAGATAACCCTTCCCTGAAGGGGAAGAAGGGGGGGTTGAAAGAGAAAACGATCCAAACCACTGGTGGGATTAGTCTCAACCTGGCTCGTGCCTGTCTCATCAGACTGCTGGTGGCGACACGCCGTAGGGCTCTTCACCATGCACCAGCTGTCACCATACTTGTGTCCCTCGTGCCCTTCCCTTCCTAAGGCGGGCAAGCGGTGCTGCCCGTAAGGGCGTGGTGCGATACGACATCGTAAGCAAGGTTGGTATGTTGTTTGCATTGTTTCCGATTCTATTTTTTTGTGCCGCCAGTGTTCGCATCGGAAGTGCACTGCTGCAGAAGCCATAATCTAGGCCACACCAATCACCGGCCACATCGGTTGTCCGGTCTTGATATCGGAGTCTCCCTTATCGTTTTTTGTGCTCTTTCGCGCTCTTCACGCTGGTTGTGCCTTTTCAGGGCATCAGAAGACACATTCGCAGACGATGAGAACATGGTATCGTTCAGCATTTGCTTCGACAGAGATTTATGGGATGGCGCGTCTAAGTACATCACGGATGGCCAGGTGAAGGTGGCCAGCGGCCGCAAGCAATCACCACATACGTCGACCTCAGGGGAGAGGGTAAAGGTTCGTCCTTGCAGGTCAGCGTGGACCTTAATCCATGCAGGTGGGAGAGAGGGAGAGGGATATATGGATTGATGGCTACATCCATCCATCCATCCATCTATCCATCCATACATACATACATACACGCATACACACATACAGACACACATACGTACATGCCTGCTTGCCTGCCTGCCTGCATGCATACATAAAGACAGACATACACACACGTACATGCATGCATGCAGGTATGCCTACATACATACGTGCACACGTACATTCATGCATATATGCGTGCACACATACATGCATGCATGCATGCATGCATGCATGCATGCATACACACGCTCATACATATAAACATACATGCACATCTACTTCCCCATATCCTGAGATGGGGTTCTTGTTATTACTTGGACGCCTCCTACTCCCTCTCCCTCCTCCTCGTTCCTCCTCCCCTCCTCCTCTTTCCTCATACTCAGACCTACTCATACTCAGACTTACTCATACTAAGACTTACTCATACTCAGACCTACTCATACTCAGACTTACTCACACTCAGACATACTCATACACAGACTTACACATACACAGACTTACTCACACCCAGACGTACTCATACACAGACTTACTCATACCCAGACTTACTCATACACAGTATTACTCATACTCAGACTTACTCATACCCAGGCGTACACATACACAGACTTTCTCATACATAGGCCTACTCATACCCAGACTTACTGATACACAGACTTACTCATACACAGACTTACTCATACTCAGGCATACTCATACTCAGACCTACTCATACTCAGACTTACTCAACACACATCAGAATTGGAGGATGTCTCAGGCGGGGCGCTGGTTTCAGCACCCCTAAGGGGAGCCGCCAGGGGTGGTTGCACGGGCTCGTTCGCGGCCATTTTTGTGGGGATGTCTCAGGCGGTTTGCTTGCCCAACATCCTTCGCTTGGAGAGCAGATTGTGAGGATGTCTCAGGCGGGGCGCTGGTTTCAGCACCCCTAAGGGGAGCCGCCAGGGGTGGTTGCACGGGCTCGTTCGCGGCCATTTTGTGGGGATGTCTCAGGCGGTTTGCTTGTTTCTGGGCCCAACATCCTTCGCTTTCGGAGCAGATTTGGAGGATGTCTCGGGCGGGCGCTCATTTCAGCACCCCTAAGGGGGCCGCCAGGGGTGGTTGCACGGGCTCGTTCGCGGCCATTTTGTGGGGATGTCTCAGGCGGTTTGCTTGTTTCTGGGCCCAACATCCTTCGCTTGGAGAGCAGATTGTGAGGATGTCTCAGGCGGGGCGCTGGTTTCAGCACCCCTAAGGGGAGCCGCCAGGGGTGGTTGCACGGGCTCGTTCGCGGCCATTTTGTGGGGATGTCTCAGGCGGTTTGCTTGTTTCTGGGCCCAACATCCTTCGCTTGGAGAGCAGATTGTGAGGATGTCTCAGGCGGGGCGCTGGTTCCAGCACCCCTAAGGGGAGCCGCCAGGGGTGGTTGCACGGGCTCGTTCGCTGCCATTTTGTGGGGATGTCTCAGGCGGTTTGCTTGTTTCCGGGCTCAACATCCTTCGCTTGGAGAGCAGATTGTGAGGATGTCTCAGGCGGGGCGCTTGTTTCAGCACCCCTAAGGGGAGCCGCCAGGGGTGGTTGCACGGGCTCGTTCGCGGCCATTTTGTGGGGATGTCTCAGGCGGTGTGCTTGTTTCTGGGCTCAACATCCTTCGCTTGGAGAGCAGATTGTGACGATGTCTCATACGCAATCACTCGCATTAGGGGTCACTCGTCTTCGTGGGCCCTGTCGCCCACGTGGACGCGCTATTGTAGTCGACCGCTCATGAACAAACGCTCACCACGGCATGACATAAAATTATTCACTGCGTGGAGCTCCCCATATGTGCATCTATTGGCATGGACCTGTCCGCCGTGACTGTCTAGGCGCAAGAGCTTTCGAATATTAACGGGCTTCAGTTGTGACGGTCTGGACATCAATCTAACTGCGAATGAATTGGAGTGTGAATGAGCCTCAGTAGTACGAGCGCGTCTCTGTGCATGAGCCTGGGGCCTCCTGGGGCCTCCTGAAACCTACTGGGGCTTCCTGGGGTCTCCAGGAGCCTCTTGGGACCTCCTGGGACCTCCTAGGAAGGTTTCGTGCCCCAGGAGAGGCGCAATCTATAGCAACAGACGTACATAAAACATTGCGGATTAGAGCCACAGGAGAAGGGCAATCTATAGGAACACGCGTAAAACACCAAGGATTCGTGCCCCAGGAGAGGCCCAATACATAGGAACATGAGTAAAACATTTAGGATTGTGTACACAGGAGAAGGACCATCTATAGAAACATACGTAGAACATCAAAGAATCGTGCTCCAGGTGAGGCCCAATCGATAGGAGCATACGTAAAACACATGGGATTGGAGCCACTCCTGTTGCCTTCTGAGGCCTCCTGCTCCTGGGGCCTCTCGGGGCCTCCTGTTGCCTTCCGAGGCCTCCTGGCGTTTCCTGTTGCCTCCTGGGGCCTCCTGTGGTTTCCTGACGCCTTTTGGAGCTTCCTGGGGCCTCCTGGAGCCTCTTGGGACATCCTGTGGCCTCTTGAGTCTTCCTGTGGCCTCCTGATGCCTCCTGCCTCATGTGGTCTCTTGGGGCCTCCTGGAGCCTGTTGGAGCCTCCTGTGGCATCCTGAGAAGAATCTGCGCCCACGAGCCTGGCCACCAAAACAAGCAAACCGATCGAGACATCCTCAAAATCTAGCCCACCTGGGGGGTGAAAATGAGCGCCTCGCTCGAGACATCCTCCAAATCTGCTCCGAAAGCGAAGGATGTTGAACCCAGAAACAAGCAAACCGCCTGAGACATCCCCACAAAATGGCCGCGAACGAGACCGTGCAACCACCCCTGGCGGCTCCCCTTAGGGGTGCTGAAACCAGCGCCCCGCCTGAGACATCCTCACAATCTGCTCTCCAAGCGAAGGATGTTGAGCCCAGAAACAGGCAAACCGCCTGAGACATCCCCACACAATGGCCGCGAACGAGCCCGTGCAACCACCCCTGGCGGCTCCCCTTAGGGGTGCTGAAACCAGCGCCCCGCCTGAGACATCCTCACAATCTGCTCTCCAAGCGAAGGATGTTGAGCCCAGAAACAAGCAAACCGCCTGAGACATCCCCACAAAATGGCCGCGAACGAGCCCGTGCAACCACCCCTGGCGGCTCCCCTTAGGGGTGCTGAAACCAGCGCCCCGCCTGAGACATCCTCCAAATTTGATGTGTGTTGAGTAAGTCTGAGTATGAGTAGGTCTGAGTATGAGTATGCCTGAGTATGAGTAAGTCTGTGTATGAGTAAGTCTGTGTATGAGTAAGTATGGGTATGAGTAGGTCTGTGTATGAGAAAGTCTGTGTATGTGTACGTGTGGGTATGAGTAAGTCTGAGTATGAGTAATACTGTGTATGAGTAAGTCTGGTATGAGTAAGTCTGTGTATGAGTACGTCTGGGTGTGAGTAAGTCTGTGTATGAGTAAGTTTGTGCATGAGTATGTCTGAGTGTGAGTAAGTCTGAGTATGAGTAGGTCTGAGTATGAGTAAGTCTGAGTATGAGTAAGTCTGAGTATGAGGAGGGGAGGAGGAAAGAGGAGGAGGGAGAAGGAGGAGTAGGAGGCGTCCAAGTAATAACAAGAACCCCATCTTAGGATATGGGGAACATGAGATGCACATATGGGGAGCTCCACGCAGTGAGTAATTATTTACAGACAGACAGACAGACAGGCAGACAGGCAGACGGACAGAGAGAGAGAGAGAGACAGACAGACAGACAGACAGACAGGCAGACAGACAGACAGACAGACAGACAACAGACAGACAGACACACCGGATATATTTGCAGCCTCCCGAGAGTCTCGAGAGACAGAAGAAGTCTGGCCACGATCGTTTCGGCTCGAACCGTTCTTAGCGCTTTGGAGAAAAATGATCATACATGGTAGCGTGAGCGGATGTGTCCGCGGCGCTCGCGGAGCCAGCGCCCGCGCCTTCGGCAGCGCAGCCGAGGCGAACGACGCCTACGGCGGGCGCGGCGGCAGCGCCGGATGCAGCCGGCCTCGAGGTGGTGGAGTTCGAGGTGGTAGACACGCCCGACGTCCGTGGGCTGTGGATCGAGCTCGCGGTGCGCGTGCTCAGGCTCGCGTTCAAGAGGCGTTGCTGGGCTCATCTTAGGTAGCTGCTAAATGCGATAAACAGGCAAGGAACGTACGAAGTGGTTATGATCGCGGCTCTCCCTCGGAACGGCCAGGGTCTCCGAGGGTTTTCACAGAAAACTGCTCTTAGCATGAAGCGGCCAGATGCCAGATAGGGCAAGATAGGGTCATTGTGGCGCAGTCTCGGCGCCGCTCCGAATGCACGAAGCTCGAGCATGCACACAACAGAGAATTCGCACAGCTCCGCTGTGAAGAAGTTCTGGCCATCCACGGGAGGGGTTCTCAGACCTATTCAGATGTTTGGGTCACTCTGGTCTGACCCGCTCCATGTCCGTTTTTGCGCTTCAGATTTTCAAACACCCGCCTTCGTGCCAACCTGTGCTTAATTAGACCTTTTACTGTTTCAGGGGTCGTTGTGGCGCGGTCTCGGCGCCGTTCAGAATGCACGAAACTCGAGCATGCGCGCGACAGAGGCAATTCTCACAGCTCCGCTGTAAAGAAAGTACGGCCATCTGCGAGGGGGGTTCTCATACCTCATCATCATCATCATCATCATCATCACCAGGATCATCGTTATCGTCATCGTCATCATCATGAATTTGGTCCATCATCGGCATGATCCTCCTCGTCGCAGTTGTCATTTTTATAAGTAGTAGCATCATCATCAACTTCATCATTACCAGTGTCGTGGGCATGAGCGTCATCAGCGGCATCATCATCAGCAGCATCACCACTAGTTTTTTTTTTTTTTTTTTTTTTTTTTTTTTTTTTTTTT